TGCTCCGAGTTGCTCTGATTCCCCGGGGAAGTGGAGGATAGCTACAGCACACTGCACGGTAGCTGTGCCCCTGATCCACCCTCTGTTGTGGGGGCTGGGAGCAGGACCCTCATCAGCTCCACTCTAATTGGGGAGGGCCACTCCATGGGGAGATTCTCAAGGGGCCAGTTCTGGCCCCTTTTGGCATGAAGATGCGTTAGCACAGCTGTGAATCCAGCTCCTGGAGATAAAGCTAACGAGCAAGAGTCCCCTTTAAAATGAAAAGCAAGTCATTCCCTGTGGTTTTGTTATGGATTCCATCTGCTGCCTTTAATGCCTAAAAATAAAACGGAGAGGCGGAACTTTACAGCTGCATTCAAAGAACTGAGCGGCCACCGCGTGCGCGGGCCCGGCTCTCCTCGCCGTCAATCGGGACGTTACCCGCTGCAGAATGCAGGGCTTAAAATGGTGCAGGCATTTGCATCTGGTTCGATGCTTGATTTCAAAGCCTCATGATTCACCACCTTGGCAGGCAGCCCCGGATTCTGACGATCTATTTTGGGGGAATAACATTTCACAGGAATTTTTTGTTTTGTGTTGTTTTGCAGTGTCACCTGATTATTCTTTTTTTTTTTAAGGGACTTTAACACTGAAAGTAACTTGATCAGCGCATTGAGGGAATGAATCAACCCAGAGCCTGGTAACGGTGTAGAACATTGCGTGCGTAACCATCCTCCATGCAGCCCAGGTCCTGATTAGATCTTACAGGGGGGCGTCCCTTTCGTTTTCAAAACTCTTGAGCTGCTTCACAAAGGCTGGGCCGGGCCAGATCCCCAGCTGGTGTAAATAGGCATCGCTCCGTTGGAGTCACTGGGGCCAGATCCCCAGCTTGTGTCAGTCAGCCCCACTCCATTGGCTTGAGCGGGGCAACACTGATCTACATCAGCTGGGCCTCTGGCCACATCTGTGCTCGTGCAGACATACAGGGCTGAAGGGGTGTGTGTTCCCGGCTCAGCACTTCAACCCAATCATGCAATTCTTCTCCTACCTCCTCTACTTTGGGGACAGTGTCGTCTCAAGATTAGAGCAAGGGACTTGGTCGGCCGGACTCCTGGGTTCTAATCAAACCTCTGCTCCTGCCTGCCGTGTGACCTTGGGCAAGTTACTTCTCGGAGTAGCTCAGGTTTCTCCGGTGTAGACCGGGGGCAATGAAAGCCAGCCGACAGTGAGGTGGTGAGTCTGAATGAATTGTCTGTAAAGGGCTTTGAGATGCTTGGCTGGAAGGTGCTGTGTGAACAAAATTAAGTTGCTTGCTTGCCTCGGTGTTAGCGGCTGGTGGGTACTCTCCTTCCTTTGCCATTCCATGACCAGTAGGAGACGGGATCCCACCAGCAGCAGAGTGCTTTCGCCATAAGAGTCATACCATGTCTGCCCTGCAGTTCACACCTGTAAAGTGTGTGTGTGTGTGGGGGGGGGGGGGTTTTCCAGAGAGAGCGTAAAAGGGGGCTCTTGGCACTAGACTCGGCCTCAGGAGATCTGGCTTCAGTTCCGGGCTCTGCCACAGACTCCCTGTGACCTTGGCCAAGTCACTTCCCCTCTCTGTGCCTCTGTTCCCCGTCTGTACAATGGGGAGAACACTCCTTCCCTGCCTCGTATGGGGGCTGGGAGGATAGTCCTCAATCCAGATGCAATGCGGTGCTATAGTAATTTATATTGGTGTAGTGTCGAGAAACCCCTACTGAGACCAGGGCCACAGTGGGCCAGGTGCTGCACAGACACAGGCCCTGCCTCGAAGGGATGGTAACAAAAGATGGGTGGGGAAACTGAGGCACGGAGCAAGGACGTGACTTGCCGAAGGTCATCCAGCAGCTCAGTGGCAGAGCTGGGAACAGAACCCAGGCCTGCTGGGGCGGGGATGCCTGTTTCTTTAATTATGAGGGGCTGGGTTAAGTGGAAGCAGAATGCAGGTCTCCTGAGGCCTGGTCCAGGGCCCTCCCCACTGGACCACACTGCCTCTAGATACCGCAGGAGCCAGAAAAAAACCCGACAATGAATCAAAAACAATGCAAGTGGCTTTAGCCTGTTATCCTTTGGGGGTTTGTTTTTCTTGAAGGGATTGAAATAAAGCCCCAACCCGTAAACCACTTTGAGACGTATTTAAACCAATGTGTTCCCAAGGTTTAGCCTCTCGCTCGCGTGCGCTCGTCCGGATTAAGTTTCCCTGTGATTTGTGACGGGTCAGGCTGTCTGACTGGGTCCTTAATGCAGATAGTCTCCGTTTGGCTCTAACAAGCACCCACGTTCCCACATCCCTGCTTCTCCTGCTAACACACCCCCTGCAACCTGCTCTTCCAACTACGCCCTCTCCCAGCTGCTAAGTGACTCCATGCTCCCAACAGGAGCAAACCTTTACACTGGCAGCAGGGGCGCGTTTCGGGGTTTGGATAATCCCAGCCTCTTTGGACCGTCTGATCACAGACGGGGTGAAACTGCCAACTCCTCGAAGCAGCACCCGGCCCAGTGGGGCCTGATCTCAGCTGGGAGCACGAGGCACTACAGCAAACACCGCTCAACAGTAACGCCACAACGTGCTTGATAACCGTGAATTCCGTCTGTACCGCCCTGCCCACGACCAGCTCTCCCGGCGCTTTGCAGGCAGTAAGAGCGGGACTTTTCAAAGTGCTCCGCCTTGCCCCAACTCAGCTCCTGTCCAAACCGACGGGAGTTTTACCCTGGACCTCTACGGGGCCGAGTCGGGCCATTACCAAGCACTTCAGAAAATCCAACTCTCTGCAACCTGCCAGAGGGGCAGCTTTTATCCCCTGCTGTGCAGTTGGGCAGGTTGAGAGACAGAGGGAGGAAGTCATGGGCCAAGGGCGTGCGCTAGTCAGGGGCAGGAGTAGAACCAGGGCCGGCTCCAGGGTTTTGGCCGCCCCAAGCAGCCAAAAACAAAAAACCCGCGATCGCGATCTGCAGCGGCAATTCGGCAGGAGGTCCTTCGCTCCAAGGCGGAGTGAGGGACCGTCCGCCGAATTGCCGCCGAATACCTGGACATGCCGCCCCTCTCCGGAGCGGCCGCCCCAAGCACCTGCTTGACAAGCTGGTGCCTGGAGCCGGCCCTGAGTAGAACCCAGGAGTCCTGAACTCACGCGCTCAGGGGGAGCTGCCGTCTCCCCAGAAGATTATCATACTAACACGCCACCCCAGCCTTCGCATCGCAAGCTCGTGTCACAGAGATTGCTTGGGGGGCGGGCGGGCCAACCACGTGCGTTTCACAGGAGCTGGCCTCTGGCGGGTAGGTTCTCCAAGGAGGGGGTCACTGATTTGCAGACTCTGCTCCGTGTAATTCTTATACCGTCATCGTGATATCTGGGCACGCAGTAATGAGGGTGCGCGCCCTACGCTTTTTGTTTGGCAGGGTTTGGGGAAAGGCTGAAGGCTGTGTTGGGGTGGGGGGGTGGAAAGGGTTTTGATTTATGGCCGGGTTTGTTAATTACTCATCTGCATGTGATCACTTCATGAGCCTGGCTTAATGGTCCTGAATTCTGGAGGCACTCGGGTGCCGGCTGATGTCTCACTGGCTTCACTGGCACTTCAGCACATGTTTAAAGTTAAGTCTGGGGCTTTTTAACATTGCCTAAGAGATTTAGGCACTCAGCTGCCCTTGAAATCTAAACTCCCTTAAGCTCCCCTGCCAATCCCATCCGTACCCACTAGGGATAAATTTAAGCACGTGCTTAAACCCTTTGCCAAATTGGGGCCTTCTGTCTAACGGGACTTGCAGTTGAATTAATTGTCAGGGCTCCCAAGGAGTCTGGACACGATTTAAATCTAAACCAATGATCTCTCAATTGAACGCATAGACTTGTGAATGCCGGGAAGTAAAGAGACCCTTGCATTGTGTCCAAGTCCGGCCGAGTGGCTGGCAAGGGAGCTGAGAAGCAGTGACTTCTCAGCAGTGAGAAGCCAGAGGGCCCGCCTCGCAGGAACCCCGCCAACCCCTAGCGTGAAATGTCAAGGAAGCATTAGCCGGAGGTTACAACCCTCGCCTCTTCCTGCTCCAGCAGCTGCTCGGGAAAAGCCAGAGCACGTGGCTTCCTGGCTTTTTGAGCGAGTGGATACTGGCAAGGGAGAGCAGGGGCAGAGCCGGGGAGATGAGTAAATGCTGCCCTGATCAGGCGGTGTTGTGGTTCATTGCCTGGGGGAGGAGAGAGACCTGAGCCCTCCTCTGGGAGGAGGAGGAGGTGGAGGGCCCTGCTGCTTAATTCTGAATGGCTGGGCTGAGTGAAAGCATCAGTTGGTTTTGCTCTGCGGGCTGGTCGTCAGGGCAGTCAGTCCCCAGGCCTGGCATGGTACTTGGTGTATGCAAGCAGGTGGGCAGTGCGTGCACCCTCACCCCCACTCTGCACTTCAGTGTTCCCGGGGTTAAATCCCCAAGGCCCATTATAGGAGAGGGAAGAAAGCTGCTATGATCTCCCCCTGCATAACTCCTCTCTGACACCCCCAGAAATCCTAGAGCCAAACCTGTGTCCCTGCAGGCCCCAGGGATGCACGGGTAGCGGAGGTGCTCACAGGCTGGCTTGGCAAGCCCAGACCTGGGTGCACTCCGCCGTGAAGACAAACCTTGAGCAACTGCCAGTGCCCACCCGTTCTCCCCCTTCTGCCCACTGACCCGGCTCTTCTAGGCCTCCCCCTTGGAGAGGAAGCAGCACGTCTGGCGGAAACCTGCTAGTGAGGTGGGGTATTGTCTGGGGGACTGAGCATGACCGTAGGCGCCTGGGACTCCTGGCTTCTATCCCTTGTTCTGCTGCAGACTCCCTTGGGCAGGTCCCGGCTCCTCTCTGTGCCTCAGTTTCTCCAGATGCAAGGTGGAGACATCCCGGGGTACTGAGAGTAGGCACAGAGCTCGGAGCTTGCAGAGCGCTCGTGGCCTGCATGGAAGGCTTGAAACCAGGCGCTGTCTGCCTGGAGAATGAAACACTGGCTCTGGGCTCCACTAACTTTGACTCTCTGCTTGGCAGCTTCCTCGAGGAAATTTCAGCCTCTGGGTTCCGCGGCCGGGGCGCCGAGAGCTCTCAAATTACAGTGAGAGCGAGCAGCAGGCGGTGAACGCGGGGGGCCGCCGCCGCTTCCCATCTGGAGCTCCCACAGACTGACCAGGCGGTGGCAGAGCAGTGTTGGGCGCTCCCGCGGTCCATCCTGCTGTCCTGCTGCTGGACGACACGCAAGATGGCCTCTGCCGCGCCGTGCCATGCCCGAAATCCCAGCATCCTCGGCGTTACCTTCCTGCTCGGCTCTCTAATGGGGCGCGGTGGAAGAACCGCAGGGAGGTGGCGGAATCGTAGATCCCAGGAAAACATTACCTGTGGGTGCCCGGCGCCTTTGAACACCCAGCTCCTTCTGTGTCTCTTCATAACCACAACTGGCCTGCCCAGAATCCCCAGTTTCCTGCGTGTGTTGGTCTCTCCAAGGTAAAGGCTGGATGGGCTCTCGCAGCCTCTGGCTCTATCTGTTTGTCTGCAGCCCAGCTCCTCACCGGTAACTTTCAGGGTCTGGGCCTGTATGTTTGGAAGTTCATTAAACATCCCACTCTGACCAGCTCTTATATTTTAAATGATTCCAGATATTTGTCCGCCCCCCACCCCCTTTTTATAATGTCCATGAAACTAGCTACTTTCCTGACAGGCCCCGTTCTCGAGCCCCTGCGTCCATGGGGGAGAGAGCAGCACGGGCCCCTGTACTCCTTCCCCCTTTCTGTTCCCGTGTTGTGATCGGGAAAAGTTCGTGTGACACTAATAAAAATAAAATTCAGTTTTCTGGCAAAAACGATGGGTTTGGTTTTGTGATGGTTTGGGAAGCTTAGCCTGAATTATAACCCCAGGGCAGGGGGGAGGAGGAACATGCCAGAGTCCTGATCATAGGGCTAGCAGGCAGGCTATAGCGAGTGCTAACTGTGGTCCCGACACTGGCTCTGTGATCCCAAATGAGGAGTTGCTTCTGTGCCTCAGTTTCCCTATTTGTAGAAGTGTGTGATGACTCCATTCTGGCCAGTGGATCACTAGCAGCCTGACCCTGTGAGTTTGACAGGTGGGCAGTGGGGCCTATGCTGGGACAGGACTGCCACCTTCCTGGTTACGCCTGGCTTATGCTGGAAGATGCCAAAAGCTCCATCCGTTCTTCTCCGGGCCGCATCCTGCAGCCTTAGGCTGGGCTCAGGGGAAGAAACCGAACTCTGAGTGGGTTGGGAACAGAGTTCCAAGGCTCCAACTCCAGGAGCCTTGGAACCTCCAGACACCCAGGCCAGAATCCTTAACGCTGTGAGTGCCGTGGCGGGGCTGGGGCTAGCCCGTGGGATGGGAAATTGAGGCCCTGGGTCCTACATGCCTGCAGCCAGGCCTTGCAGTCCTGCCTCCTTTCATAGGAGCGAGCCTCTGAGATCCTTCTAAGTTAAACTGAGACTTTCCAGTGACTCAGCCACTGTGTGAAGCCCACGGTAAGGGACCGTCTGCACAGGAAACGTAGCTGCTTTGTCATGACCATCCTGCCCAGCAAAAACCTGCCCTCCCTTGTCCCCTCAGGCTGTGACCTCTTTAGATCTCTTGGTCTTGAGGGGGTAGCGGGGAGGGTTGGAACGTGCTAACTTCAGGCCCCTGCTCTGGTTCCGGTACGTGGGTCCTAAAGACAGCTCCAGCTGTGAGGTTGAGATGCCAGCTCAAGCATGTTGCATTCTGGGGAGAAGCTAATGCACCGTGTTGGAACCAGAAAGGAGCCCACCGGCAGCTCGCGCCAAAGGAGATCCCATGACAATGTCCCTTGCTCTTCCGTCTGCCGTCAGTTCAGGAGCTGCCAGACCGTCCATGGCCCTGGCCTAGCCGAGGTTGTCCGCTGTAATCCAGCCGCGGTATCTGTTTTCCAACAGCTTCCCTTGGATGGTCCGATTTCTCCTCTGCAGCCAGTGGAAGGTAGAGTCCAGCTGATGCAAGCTTGGATCTGCCCCTGTCCACAGGGGAATCCTGGGGAAGTTGCTGGAAATCTCTGTGCAGAGCAGTGTGATCTAGGGCTTGGAAGAGGGGACTGGAGTTCAGGACTCCTGAGTTCTGTTCCCAGCTCTAGGAGGGGAATGAGATAGAGGCTAGAACTGGGAAGCTGGACTCCTGGGGGCTGGGGAATGGTCTAGCAGTTAGACCAGGGAAGCAGGAGTCCGGGTTCTGTTCCCAGCTGTGGGAGGGGCGTGGGTTAGGGACCGGAAGTGGGAACCTGAGTTCTATTCCCAGCTCTGTTATCGAGCTGCTGCGTGACCTCAAGCGTGTCTTTCTGTAGCTCACTGTCCCCACCTTGTAAAACAGAGAGAACGTCGCTTAGCTACTGCACAGAGTGTCTGAGGCCTGGTCTACAATGGGGGGGGGGGGTCAACCTAAGATACGCAACTTCAGCTACGCGAATAGCGTAGCTGAAGTCGGCATTCTTAGGTCGATTTACCTGGCCGTGAGGATGGCGGCGAGTCGACCACTGCCACTCCCCCGTCGACTCCACTTCTGCCTCTCGCCGCGGTGGAGTTCCGGAGTCAACGGCAGAGCGATCGGGAATCGATTTTATCGCGTCAACGCTAGACGCGATAAATCGATCCCCGATAGATCGATCACTACCCGCCGATCCGGCGGGTAGTCTAGACGTACCCTGTGGAGTTATTAACTTCTTATCATGGCACATTGAGGGTGTTAAGAGGGTTAACAGGGAAGTGGCAAAATTTGCAGACCATACAAAACGACTCAAGATAAGTCCAAAGCTGACTGCAGAGTGTTACAAAGGGATCCCACTAAACTGGGGGCCTGGGCAACAATTGGCAGATAAAATTTAGCATTGCTAAGTACAAAGTAACGCACATTTGGAAAACATAATCGCAGCTCTACATACAAAGTGATGGGATCTAAATGAGCAGTTACCGCTCAAGAGGGAGATGGTGGAGTCATTATGGATACTTCTCTGAAAACATCCACTCAGTGTGCAGCAGCAGGGGAAAAAGCAAACACTGTTAGGAACCATTAGGAAAGGGATAGATAAGAAGACAGAAAAATATCCTCATGCCACTATATAAGTCCACTGTACACCCACACCTTGAATACTGCGGGCTTTCTGGTCGTCCCATCTCAAAAAAATCTATATTAGAATTGGAAAAGGTTCAGAGAAGGGAAACAAAATGACTAGGGGTATGGGACAGCTTCCATCTGAGAGATGAAAAAGACTGGGACTGTTCAGCTTAGAAATGAGATGAGTAAGAGAGGATATGATAGAGGTTTATAAAATCAAATAGTGTGAAGAAAAAGTGTTATTTACCCTTCACATAACACAAGAACCAGGGGTCACCCAATGAAATGAATAGGCATCAGATTTAAAAATAAACCTAAGGAAGTATTTCTTCACACAATGCACAGTCAACCTGTGGAACTCCTTGCCATGGGGATGTTGTAAAGGCCTAAAGTATAACTGGGTTAAAAAAAATAAATAGGTAAGTTCCTGGAGGGCAGATCCATCAATGGCTATTAGCCAAGATGGTCAGGGATGCAACCTCCAACTTCCAAAAGCTGGGACTGGATGACAAGGGATGGATCACTTGATAATTGCCCTGTTCTGATCATTCCCTCTGAAGCATCTAGCACAGGCTACTGTCAGAAGAGAGGATATAGGGCTGGATGGGCCACTGGTCTGACCCGCTATGGCCATTCTTATGGTGTTTGAATTCATAACTGTCTGGTTTAATTCCCCAAAGCAAGGACATTCGGATCCCGGACTTTCTCCACCCGCCTAAGAACCTATTGGGCGGACGTACGTATGTTGTGAAACGGCTCCAGGACACACATGAGAGCAGCGGCACTGGAAGAGGTTCGAGCTCCCACACCATCACCCGACTAAGGATATCCTCCCTGTTCAACTTCTGGGTTACGATCGCCGCCTTTCTGCCATATCACCGTTTTAGTGGCAACGGGCACGATTTTTGTCTCCCGGCCTTGTTGAGGGTATTGCATCTAGGAAGTCTATGCTGCTTACTAAGCCATTCCGTACAGCAAGAACACCCGGTGTTATCAGCCCATGGAGCTCAAAGGCAGGGGGTACCAGTGTTGTTGGAGCCAGTAGCGAGACAGACAGCCGTAATGAAGCAAGAGGTCCTGGCTAGATTAGATTCAGCCAGGAGGCCACAACCGGAGTGGGCAGCTCCACGCCGTAGCAAAGAGCTGCATTGCCTGAAGCGACCGCAGAGGATTTGGGAGTCACTGGGGTTGCTCTAGGCAGCTTCCTTCCCCTGTATTTGGGTATGCAATCTCCTTCCCAGGGGTTGGCAACTGCAGGCTTTTGGGGGTTAAACAAGCCTGTTGGGAAATCTGCCAGACCCATCCCCCACACATATATTTGATCCAAGTTGTCCCGCCTTTCCCCGCTGAAGAGTAATAACAGCCCGTGGGATCAGAACGCCCCCCTCCCACAAGCTGAGATTAGAGTAATACATGTAAGGTGGCCTCCTTTCTGATTGAAGTGTCATGGTAAACAAACAGCTCAGTTTAATCCGAAGCAGACCTGGGCCATTCAAGCCTTGGCTCTCCGGCTGTCTCACCTGGAAACCCTCCCCCCCCCGGGAATCCGGCCCCTTCCCCTAGGCCTCAGGCAGTCAGCCCGGCGCGCCACGGCATAGCCTTCCCCTGCGGGGAAAAACAAATCGCTGTTCAAAACCAGGTGAACGGCAACGACAGAGACTGGGCTTGTGCTGGGCCGGCGCCAGCGGAGGCCCCTGCACAGCTGGGAGCGTAATTTCTCTTTCTAAGGACAGGATACTTTGCGTTTGTCTCCAGGCGGCGAGCTGTGATCGACTCCTTCCCGCCCTCTTCCTCTCCCGCTGAGCGTGCTCGCTGTTGTTCCTGGTACGGAAACTGAGGCACAGGGAGAGCCTAGAAAGGTGGCTAGCAGCTAGACTGACTTCATGATGGGGCGAGTCCTCTCTTGGTTTGGCCAACAAACCGAGCACTGAACTGGGGACCTCCACAGCTAAAAGCATCAGCTGCTCCCGCGTGAGCTGAAGAGTGAAGGCTGCCTGGCTGGCACCAGAACAGGCTCATCTCCCAGGCAGCGAGGGGGGGACCTCCCCCATACACACCAGTGGGTTACTCTGCCTGGGCCAGCTCTAGGGCCAAGCGAGCAATTCAGTCCCC